TTCTGCTAAATAATAAAACAATCACAGCTATGACTTAAATTGACAGTTACACCAAAGCTGCCCTTGAGGGGTGAAAAGCCATGCTGGGTTTGACATGTATGGGTCTGACATGCTACCTATTCCCCAACAGTTGTTCTCCAATGATTTACAGGAGTTCTGGAGGGTATTTTTAGACCAAAAGTGTTTCTCAGCTTAATTTTATTACATATGTGCATTTCCAGTTTTGCTTATACGAGCCCCACCCTCCGATATGGATTCCCTATGTAAGGGTAGAGGACCCCCCCCTCCATTTTAAGAGGTGGTGACCAATCACAACTCAAAAATGCTATTGCTACCTTCTCACTGTTATTAGTCACCTGCCTCCCTAGGTTCATGCTGTGCAGACCAAGAAATGCAGGGCACTGCCAAGCACGGGAGTTGTGGAAGTGGCCAAAGGGCCCGATCTGCCCGGAAGCCCCCAACATATCGATTCGTATGGTCTGCGGTTATTGGACAGGTAGGCTCAGCACAGTGATACCTTCCTTGCGGTGGATGCCTTGGCAGCACAGTGGTAATGGAACTTCCAGAAGGTGGGCTTTTTCAAGGATTTTCTACCCCAATAATTAACAAAGCAATCTACCATTATATCAGTATGTTGCTAGGTCAACTTCCTTTAAAAAAAAAAAAAAACACAACTCCAAAATGCCCCCCCCCCCGGGGCACAGGGTAAGAGGGGGATGGCTGCCATGGAGACTGGGGAAGTGGAAATGATTGTTGTAAGGCTGGAACTGGGAAAATCCTGACTTTCCCGCCCATGTGATAAATGGCCAAAGAGAGATTCACGGAAAGAAGCTAAGTGCAAGGAAAAAACTGAACAAATTACAAGAAATGTATTATAAATATTCAGCAATTATTAAAGATACTAATATCCATGTGCTCTATTCATACGACAGTTCCAAAGTCTAATACGTGTATGTTCAGTCCACAATCATTTCCATATTTAAATGAATAAAGTGCCTGTGTCGAAAAATGTTGTCAGTTCGTTGTTTTCAAAATACAGAAGTTTAGTCTTTCAAAACAGTTCGTTGTTTTCAAAACAACAGCAGATAGGTCTTTCAAGCAATACAGTTTCCAAGTGGGTGCACAGAGACCGTAGAAAGGACACTGCCGTTCCACCTCTGACGGAGCCTGCCGGCCTTTACGCATCCGTTTCCAAAAAGCCTTTTCAAAGAGGGGATAGGACATTGTCCATACATGCAGTACTGCCACTCCAATACGAACATCCCAAGTTCTCAGAAGCATAATTTACAGGAGAATAACATCTCCTGCCCATGTGAGAACAGCATTTTCCTGCCCATGTGGCAGCTACTGGGCTTTGTTGGAATTTCCCCCAAAACTTCTGAGCAAAGCAGATCAGAGAAAAAACAGGAAACACAAAGGAGGTACACAAACGCACCATAACACTGCGGGAAAATGGGGGGAGAAACAGCACAAAATCCAGGGCAAATAAACCTGTGTGCGAGAGGTCAAGGTTGTGCTAGGATTGCCGACCTCCAGGCGGCACCTGGAGATCTCCCGCTATTACAATTACAATCTCCAGATGACCAAGATCAGCTCCCCAGGATGAAATGGCTGCTTTGGAGGGCGGACTCTATGGCACTGTACCCTGCTGAGGTCTCACCTCTTCCAAAACCCCGCCCTTCCCAGGCTCCACTCCCAGAACCTCCAGGTATTTTCCAACCCGGGACGGGCAACCCTAAGGTTGTGCCCATCTGACCTTTCAAATTGGGCTGTCAAGACAGGGACTTACAGACCCAAACAGGAAGCCAGGAAGTCCATTCGACTTTCAAATTGGGCTGTATTCGTCGTCATTAATTTATCATCATTCAGAACTATATACCTAGGGCTGGATCCAGCCTATGTTTTCCACCCATGCAAGGCACTTGTGTCAGAAGAACAGAACATTCCTGCCTCCCCCTCCCGCCCAAAGCCCAATCATCTCCCCCCAAATGCTGCTCTTGGGGGATAATGGACCCTCAGGAACAGCAGGAGAGGCAGAACCCACCCCTTCCACTATCCGGAAATTTAGTCTGGATCCAAATAATGGTAAGCTTTGTAACATATTGTTTATGTCACTATTCTATGTAGTTTAGGGCTGCCAGGTCCATCCTAGCAACTGGCCGGGGGGGGGACGGGGACGGGGACTTACAGGGGGCAGCAGGCAGGCCCGTCCAACATACAGCAACATATCTACATCATATCACTGCCCATGTGACTTGGAAGTGACATCATCACATAAGGGATGGCAGGGCAACATTATGGTATTTGGGCAAAAACTCTATGGTGAATTTGGCTTCTACCATAGAGTTTTTGCCCAAATACCAGAGTGACTCCCCGACGTCCTGGATGTGATGATGTCACTTCCAGGTCACGTGGGCAGTGATGTAGACACATTGCTGCTGTTGGATGGATCTCCCACTTTTTCAGGGTAAGTTCCCCCCTGCCAGCCAGCTAATCTGCAGCGGGGAGGTGCTCCCACGCCTGAACCGCCAGCACCAAACAGCACTGACTCCATGTCATTCCTGTTCACACAGCTTTAGACACACAACTGTATCTGGGCGAACGAGGCAACACGGACTGTCACGCCTATCTGAGTCAATGGTAGCGTTCATCTGCTTTAACAAGTCATATGCAGGGACACGGTAGAAGCCAACTCTTATCCACTCACAGAGCTTTGGGTCGGTCCTTCTCATGATCGTACAGACTGGGTTTGAAGTAGGTTCCAGTAATCTTTATCCCAGAGCCCCATTCTCCACTGAAGGTACCTTCAATATAGTCTCCATTTGGCAAAGCCAGCGTTCCCTTGGAGGAAGACAAAAGGCAAGTAAAAATAATGAACTTGCTCATTAGAAACTCTTCTTCTATACGGGAGCAAGCACCCCAAAAGACAAAATTACAACCTTCCCATTAAGGGTCCAGTTGTCAGAAAATTCCCCTTCGTACACTGTATCGTCTTCTGAAAGCAAGACTCCAGTCCCCTGCATTAAACAGATATCACAATCAGTAAGCATGTTAGGAGCAACTTTCATATAAATATTGACTTATGTAAGCGAAGAAAAATGGCAAGACAGTGTGCATCGTTACAAAGGGCACTACCCAAAGCTCCAAAACTGTCAATATAAACACTGAAGCAGTTGCATTTTTACTTCAACACTGTGAATCACAAAGGAGAACAAAAATAGACAGAGCATTGCTCTCCAACAGCCTGAACACGGCTTACCATCATTTTATTGCTATTAAAGGCTCCTTCATAATACAGTCCAAACTGGGTCACCACAACGCCATTGCCTTGGCAAAGGTCATCTTGCCACATTCCCATGTATTTTTCTCCCCTGGAGGGACAAAAAGGCACTATTGTCCAAAGGCTCACAGAATTGGGAAGGACCTCCAGGGTCATCTAGTCCAACCCCCTGCACAAGGCAGGAAATTCACAAACACCTCCCCCTCCACACCCCCAGGGACTGCTGTTCCATGCCCAGAAGATGACAAAAAAACCCTCCAGGATTTCCAGCCAAACTGGCCTGGAGAAAAATTGCTTCCTGACCCTATAGTAGTGATCAGCATTTCCCCGGGCATGTAAAAAAGGGCCACAAGAACTAAGCAGTGAAGCAAACCTTCCTGCCCTCCCTTTCAACTTCTTTTTGGGCTGCTCAGGTGTTCATCAGTGGACTTCTGTCTGCTGTCACACACCATTAAGCAAGCCTGTTCCAACAATTAAGCATATGCAGCAGAGGCCCATCAGTGGCTCTTAGCCACAAGGTATAGATGGAACACTCTGTCTGGGGCAGTGCTGCTCTGTCTTCTTGGTACCTGGTGGGCTACAGTGGGAGGGCTTCTGGAATTCTGGCCCTGCTGGTGGACTTCCTGATGGCACTTGGGTTTTGGCCACAGTGGGACACAGAATATTGACTGGGCTGGGCTGTTGACCTGATCCAACATGGCTTCTCCTACGTCCTTAATTACTAGGATCATGTTCTTAAAAAGCTGTCTTCTGCACAATGACCACAAACCACTGCATGTTTTAAATGCATGTAAGTAAATAATTTTCTTTATGTTGGTAGATAACAAGAATCCTCCATTAATTCTGAAATTCTTATCTTCAGGGTGAAAACACTGAATTCAGCTCCCAAAAAGAGTCCATGGATAGACTTTTCTAAATGCGAGGCTCAGGGGTCATTTCGTAGAAAAAGAGCTAGGGGAACTCATTAGCATAACTCATTAGCATATGCCACACCCCCTAACATCAGGGGCCCGGCGGTGGACCTGCAAGGCCAGCGGGAGTGTGAGGAACCCCGCCAAGGCCCTCCCTGGCCCCAGGCAGGCAGGGGTGGGGAGAGGCGGGGAGGAAGCAACTTACCCTCCCTCTTCTCCTGCCTCCTCCTGGCTGAATGAGGGCTGGAAGCGGGGCGGCCGGAAGCAGGGGGCAGGGCTTCGTCATGTGCCCCGCCCCACTGCACCTCACCCGGGGGAACTGCATTCCCCCACGATCCCCCCCGAAATGACCTCTGGCGAGGCTTTAAACGTTGGACCTTTCAGTTACTTTCTGGACTCGTTCAGAGGGTAACCACATTGGTCTGAAGAAGAACAGCTGGATTCGAGTCCAGTGGAACCAATGAAAAAATCTTAAACCCCCCAAATTGTGTTGGTCTCTATGGTGCTAATGGAGTTTTTGACTCTAACACTTTTGCTAAAACCCTTTTAAAACCAAAGCTACAGTCCTAAATTACAATGAGCTGAATGGAAACAATCGCCTGGACACAGTCATCTTCACAAAACTGAGTGTTTAGAATTCACATATTTTGCCTCAGCTTTTTGACCATTCCACCCCTTAAGGTGGCTTACAATGAAACAAGGTAAAACATGCAGAAATCTATAGTATCAAAAGATGAAAGAAAGAAACAGGTAACAGAATTGTTCTCTCAAATTAGCCTTTCTATGCATAAACAAATGAATTATTCAGATGACGGAAATATTCTCTCAGATGGAACCTTTTCCTTTCAAGTTCAAAAGAATCTGCTTGTGCCAACGGAATCACCTGGATCTGTGGAGAAAGACCTATATGTAGTCCCCTTGTTTTTTCTTCTTGCCCCTCCAAGAAAGTCCAGTGAACAACAATGGCCCACAAGTCGGGAAACGGAGCTGTTAAGTTGGAATTCCAGGGGTTCAGTCTCCCCCATTATTAGGGCTGCCAAGTGGGGGCGGGTGGCGGGTAAACCCCTGCTTTGGAGGCCCGATTTCCGCCACCGCGGAATTGGGCCCCGGGGGAAACTCCGCCCCCTGAAGTGCAGTGTGGCTGCGTCACCAGAGGTGACGCAACCACGTCGATCACGTTGGGGGCGTGGCCCCGATCATCGGAGGGAAAACTCTATGGTTTTCCCTCCTACGATCGGGGCCACGCCCCCAACGTGATCAACGTCGTGCGTCACTTCCAGGGCGTGCTGGCGGCGTGTGCGCGCGCATCAGAAGACGCCCCAGAGACCCGGGCGACAATCCCCCGCCGGTAAGAAGATTCAACTTGGCAACCCTACCCATTATACACATCTGAGTTCCTACCCTCCACTTCTCTGAGAAGGAAGCTGATTTAAATGGTACGTTAACCCCTTTGTTGGAGAAGCAGCAGGTTTATAGTGGGGTTCTTAAACAACTCTTGGGTGATGCCACCCATACCTGGTCATTAGTTCATTTAACGTCTACAGCTTCAGCTGAAGAAGTGAGCAGTGACTCATGAAAGCTCCTCCCCTGCCACAAATGTTGTTAGTCTTTAAGCTGCTACTGGACTGTTGCTCTTTTCTGCTGCTACAGACAGACTAACACGGCTACCCATCTTGAACTAGCTTCAGCTTCTCTTACTTCTGTTTTACACAACTCTTCTTCTTGTTGGATCCATGGCTGTCAATGATGGTCTCACTTGGGGGGAAAAAATAAAACGTTTTCTTGCCCTTTTCTTGCGCCTTTGAGAGGATCTTTGTGCCTTTCCCAGCTGCCTTAATTCACAGAAACTTGGGACAGGAATCTCTGAATAATGAAACCCCACCTGCTCCGCCTTCTCCTTTTTGCATCGTTCTACCTTGTTGTTGCTAAGCAACTACACAACCATCTTGGCCTGAGAAGGGTGACTCACTCCACGGAGAGCCAACTGATCTGCAAGGGCTGCCTGTGTCTGCTTACAGCATTTACATCCACCATTTCCTTTCACTCTGCACTGGAGATGGGTCCTGCCTCAGGACAAGGGAGGACCCACCCAGGGGACCAAAGATCTGGGAGATCACAGCAGATTAAATGTGATCTGGATGTCTGGGGTACTGTTTGCTTCTTTCATCTATAGACCGCCACGATGCAGATCTGAACTCCAGTTTAAACTTCTATAGAACAACAAATGAAGAAAAAGATCCTACTTCTGTCATCCAGTAAGAGAAATAGGGCAGCCAACGCCTGCTTGGGAAATACCTGGATATTTGGGGGGTGGAGCCTGGGGAAGGCAGGGTTGGAAAAGGGGGTGGATCCTAGTGGCCAGAGAGTCCACCCACCAAAGCAGCCATTAGCTCCAGGGGAACTGATCTCAGTAGGGTGGAGACCAGCTGAAATTACAGGAGATCTCTAGGCCCCACCTGGAGATTGGAAACCCTAAACAGGAATACAGTAAAAAGCCCAGCAGGCACGTCTAGGACTAACACACTTTATTGTAGCATAAGATTTCGAGGCCGTGGTGGCTCAGAGGTTAAGACGTCTCTGGCCCCAGCTCCTGCCAACCTAGCAGTTCGAAAGTAAGAAATTGCAAGTAGATGAATAGGTACCACTTCGGTGGGAAGGTAACAGCGTTCTGTGCGCCTCGGCGTCTAGTCATGCCGGCCACATGACTATGGAAACGTCTTCAGACAATGCCGGCTGTTCGGCTTGGAAACGGAGATGAGCACTGCCCCCTAGAGTCGGATTCGACTAGCTTTCGAGCAAGGGAAACCTTTACCTTTTAAGCTTTCGAGAAACACAGCTCTCTTCGTCAGATGCATGGAGGGTATGAAGAAACTGGCCAGAGATATATAGGTGGTAAGGCGAGGGGGGAGAGGATGCAGAAGGTGCCATGGAAATGCATTTTCTTCATACCTCCATGCATCTGACGAAGAGAGCTGTGTTTCTCAAAAGCCTATGCTACAATAAAGTGTGTTAGTCTTAAAGGTGCTACTGGGCTTTTTACTATTTTGCAGCAACAGACTAACACAGCTAACTCCTCTGGACCTAAACAGGAATGGTTCTCACAAACAAAAACCTGTGATTTTGCACTGATGTCATGAGACTTAGCATTTAATTGTTTTGTGATTTCTTTTAATTACAGCTGTGTGATAATCAGCTTTCTAACGTTTTGTTTCGCAGACTCCTTACGTGAAGTCAGCCAACGTCTCAGATTTTGCACAAAAAGCTTCTAACAAGTTCTTGTCCCTGATCTTATGTCATTTGGCATACTTGAGTAGAATATAAGGGATGCATTTACCTTGTGATATCATCAAACACTCCATATCCGGTCTTCTTATCCATCACCCACTGACCAATGAACATGCTCGGAGAGGAAGACGTCAGTTTCCCGCTGCGCAGGAGACCGTGCCTGTGGCGCATGTTGTCTTGGAAACTCCCTTCATATACTTCTCCAGTGGCATAGCTGCAAAAAAGAAGGTTTCTCTTTCAATACGCTGAATCAGAAGATTGGGGGAGGGGCAGGTGATACATTAACACCCATTTTAGTTAAAACTCTGCTTCCATACTCAGAACCTGGAGTGAAAGAAGGGCAATGTAACTACTCACAATTTACCTTTTTTCCCCTTCGAAGGCTTCCTTTCCTCCTCGCCCTCATCCCCTCCATGAAAGAAATATGGGATGAATTTCAAAGGAAAGTGTCATAATGAAAGGAAGCAGCCAGATAACAGATACAGAGACACGTTGTGTGCAGATATGCACAGGTGCGCTCACACAGTTGGCAGGAATATAAAAACTTAGGTAGATTATTTTCAGTATGAGCGATGGGAATAACTCTTGGATCTGTATTACTGTGTTGAGGGCTATGAGAGGGATACAGCACAAAATTTCCTCTTGTATTAGAGCTCTCATGCAAGCAAAAATGTAAGAAAGAGGCCGTGGGAGCTGCTTGCACCTGACCTGGATGGCCTAGGCTAGTCTGATCTCGTCAGATCTCGGGAGCTAAGCAGGGTCTGCCCTTTTTAGTATTTCGATGTGTGACCTCCAAGGAATACCAGGGTTGTGACGCAGAGGCCGGCAACAGCAAACCACCTCTGAACGTCTCTTGCCTTAAAAACGCCACTGGGTTGCCATAAGTCGGCTGTGACTTGACGCACTTTCCACCAGCAGCCGCTCGCACTAAGTCAAGCTTATTGTAAGCCCACTTGTGTTTCTGCTTGCACAACATCTTGTGCAAAAAATTCCCGGACATTAGTGCAAGGTGTTGCTCAAGATCTCCTGCAAGTGGAACTGCACTGTCTGTTTATGTTTCTAGATCACTTGATCCAGCCCTATTTTTCCCCCACATTGAAAGCATGCCTGGGGAAGGATGATTATGAACCCCTCTAGACTCTAGTACCAAGACAGCTTGTAGACAACACACAGAGCCAAATGTAGCTTCTGAAAGATGTACATATGGAGAAATTCCCGCGTAAGCGACTGTCCTATCTAAGCATGGACTTCATATTGTTTGTCAGATGGAAGTGTTTTCCATGTAAGAGAAGGAGAACAGATTGGATTTATACCTCACCCTTCACTCAGAGTCTCAGAGTGGCTTACACTCTCCTTTCCCTTCCCCTCCCCACAACAGACACCATGTGGGGTAGGTGGGGCTGAGAGAGCTCTTTGGAGGATTGCTTTCGGGAGAACAGCTCTGAGAGAACTTGCAACTGACCCAAGGTCATACCAGCAGCTGCATGTGGAGGAGTGGGGAATCAAACCTGGTTCTCCCAGATTAAGTCTCGGCTGCAAGGTGGTGATATAAATGATTAAAACCAACAGCTATTCTCACTCTGACCATACATTATATCCTTCCAAATTATCTGTTATTTTACCTGTAGACTCCTTGGCCGCACATTTTGCCCTCCTTCCAATATCCAACATAGTGGTCGCTCTTGTTCAACATTTTGTTTGGTACTTTGTATTCACCATGCCTGCCAACATGAAGACCACAGACATGAACAATGGAGAGAAAAACACAGCTCAGTGAACAATCCAAGACTTTTCCCTA